GAGGGGATTATGGGATGCTGCAATGATCTGTTTGGTGTTTGGAGCCAAACACTTCAGAGACATGTTTTGTATATATCTGAGACCTATAATATATTGATGAAGAACAGAATAATAGGAGACCTTTAAGATAGTGCAAGTAAATACAAATAAAATAGAATAGAACCTGGTCCTGGCTCCAGACCTGGTCCTGATTCGGCCCCCTGCTGGTTTCAGGACCTTGGGGCCACGCAGAAAGTCTCGGAGGCAGCCTGGCAGGGGGCGGGGACAAGGAGTCTGGGTCCGCCCCATTGGCCAGATCCCCCGATGACATCACAACAGAGCAGCTGGTGGTTGGGTAATCTACTGCTCCTATGGGGACACTCTGCAGGTCCTCATACCTGATCAAAAACAGTATATTTACATTTCATATGTCGGAAATGTAACGTGATAACGCACTTTAACAGAATTTATTTTACCGCTATGATTATTTTGATTCTTGTTTTAGTTTTGACCTTGTTATTTCTATTTTCACTTATTTTATGATTTGTAATCTGAGCTTTGTGATTTTTGTATTTTATTTATTTCTCCGTTCAGCACTTTTGTCTGGAGTTTTGAAAGTGCTTTTCAAATAAAGCTGTATTGTATTGTATAGATTATTTTAAAGCTAGCTAACTTTTTACCTTTCTAAATAAATTGCCACTGTGACAGGATGCTGCCTAACTTTATTTGATGTATAACTGATTAATGTTACAACATTGGAGCGCTTAAAAAGTATTTTTTTGAGAGACATTTGTATTTCTAGGATTGTCACAAGCATTTGAAAAAGTATGTGGCTGGCTTATTAGTGGTTATAAACCTCACATTTTGAAAAGCACAATAACTTGCCCATTAGTTTTGAGATACTGACTATTTTTTTAAGCTGCATGTATTTGTTCAGTAGTGAACAATATGTTTATAAATGTTTATATTCTTCATTACAGGGTTCATACACTTTTTCACCAATGATTTTCAATGACTTTTCAATTACTTCTCCATGACCTTTACCTAATTTTCCCTGACCAAAAACATTACTCTTTCTCAGCGGTACCACTGCAAATGGTTTATTTTAACATGGACAGGAAAATAAGGTCTGCATATGAAACATGTTGTGCCTATCTAAAACAAAACAAATAGGCTTACTAGCTTCTACACGCTAAAGCAACTAAAATCTCTCACCAGCAAAATACCTCGTCAGTTAAATGCCATTTTACGTTTCATTACTATACGATACAGTGTTTATTATCATTATAGTATTACTATTTCTGCGATTAGATAAAATATAAATTATATTTGATGCAACTTTAGTTACATTTCCAAAACTTTGGGAAAAATATTGTTTTCCATAACTTTTCCAGGGCCTGGAATTAGCATTTTGAATTTCCATGACTTTTCCAGGTTTTTAATGACCGTAAGAACCCTGTCATTATTATCAGCGTTTGCTGTATCTGTCATGCAAATCTAAAATCAACAGGTCGATGAGTCTCTTACCTTTTTCTACCGTAGGTTCTCTTCATCTTTAGAGCGTCCATGGCTTCAGACTCGTCATTCTGAAACATTTGTAAAGTGCGCATAAAGTACATTTCTGGATATAGATCATTTCATGTAACAGGATGCATGTTTTGTACTTATGAGTGTATTCTCACCTTGGGATATCCAGCTGAATTTAAGTCACAGGGTCTTTCAGGTATTCGCTGAACAACTACTGGAGAGAATATAAAAGTTAATTCAAAATCAGAAAAAAATCAGGATTTTACTACCACCATCACCATAATTATGTTGATAAAGAATACACTCTTCTTTACCTGGACATGGCACTCCACTTTTAGGCTGGGACTGGACTGATCTCCTCTTCCTCGGCACATACAGAGGTGACATATCCCCTCCGATGGGAGCAGGGTCCATGCTAGGAAACCCTGCAGAAAGCAGCGTTAAAACAGAGAAGAGGGAACATCACAGTGAGTGGTGTTTCAAAAATTCAACCTAATAAACACACAGATCAGATAGACACCGAGCAAAGTCATATTTTAATTGTCCTTAAATGCCAACCAGATGAAGGTCTATAATCATTTTATACAAATCAGGGTTTATGCAGGTTTTAACAAGTCAAATATATCACATTTCATTCTAACACCACATAGAATGAAATGTGATATCATGGATACATTTGAACTTTGGTACTTTGAGAATATGATGAAGCTAATATTTCAGTATTTACTTAAGATTTTTGAAGGATTGTATTGTGTGTAAGACTGTTATGGTAATTTGCATTATAAAAGATTTTAAATTAGCTCCACCTTTACCAGCTGAAGCATCAAAGTGATGAACACACGGATACATCACTAATTATATTCCAGTAATACAACACCTGACATAATAACTACTTCTACTTTGTTATGCATTAGTTTTACTTGTAGTTATTTTAATTTAGTTAAATATCTAAAACATTTTCCACCTCTGCATATACAGTAACCTTACATATGGTTGCAAATAAAGGTCTTACTATCTGAATGCTTTCGTTAAAGTAGTAAAATGGTGTGTTTCCTGCTCCTGATGACTATGATGATTATGTTTACAGTGTTTCATGCTGGACACCTGAACGCAGCTTGCATGTCACACTGAAGGCCACTGACATGCAGCTTTAATGGAAACAACCAGTTATAATGCAGTTAAAGCGAGGAATGTGTTTTTTTCTCGGTCCAGCAACCCTGTAAAAAAAAAAAAAACAGCCTTTCCTGGGGCTGAGGAAAAGATAAAATAAAACAAAAACATGTTTCTTTTTCGGGATGCATGAAACAGCTGAAGCATACAGTGTTTTTCCCGCACACCATAACCTGCTCTTCGTGGTTTTTCTTCACCAAATGAGAGGAGATCTTACCGTCCTACAGCTCTTTCCTCTGCAGAGCCTCCATGTCTGAGTCCGGCCTCCTCGGAAGCCTTTTCCCCGGCTTTGACACCCTCAGGACGGCTAAGCTGCACAGCGAGGCCCGGTCCTGGAGCTACACAGAGTCTGGAGAAACAAACATGTACAGTATCTGCATGTGGAGCATAATTCACCACTCTGTATTTGTGTTTGTGAGCGGAACGCCCTCCTGCTGGAGAACAAATAAGACCCGCATCTGCTGCTGCCTTCACGGGCTGTGGGAAATACCGCGATTTACAGGATCAGTGGTAAAAAATAAAAATAATTACTCCGATCTTCCATTAAGTAAAAGTACCAATATCACTTTATATAAATATTTAGTTACAAGCAAAACAATTCATGCCTGATCTCAAGTTAGATTAAAAGATTCATGATTCAATGGTTGTATTGTCATTATGCACAAAGCTACAGTGTAGAAATGGCAATGCAAGTATTATGACCAATCCAACATATATAATAAAATACAAAAATACAAATTAAAAAGTAGTCCAAAAAGTATATATATATTAAAGTACAACAGTAACTTATTATACTAAAAACTCGTGTTGCAGAATGACCCATTTTAGTATCTCTATTTTTGTCAGTGTATTATTATTATTGATGCATTAATGTGTTCATCACAGCTGGTTTTGAAATTAAATTATATGCATGATAATCTTTAGATGATTGTATAAAAAATATGAATCTGCAAGGAATTTAAAAACGAGTATTATCGGATACATGTCATTGAAGCAACACAATGTTTGCCCCTGAGATGTAATGCACAGGAAGTAAAGGCTGATCAAATGGAAATATTTAAGTTGTAGGAGTTTACGAACAGACCTTGAATGCAGCATTAGAGGGGGCGTGTCCTCTTGACAGCAACCTGCCTCTGCTGATAGGCTGCATCAGGGGAGTGGGATATAAGTAGACATTTAATACAAATAATGAAAAGCTTAAAATGAAATCAAGTTTGAGGGTCAAGCTGTAAGACTGAGTAGGTTTAAATGTAAAAGGACAAATAATTAAAGTTGCATTTTTATATATTTATGTATTATTACATTAAACACGATTTAATTCCTGTACATTATTTAATTGTACTTTCTGTGTTTAGCTCATCTTATTCTATTTTACATGTATATAGTTGACTTTTGATTATAATGATTGATCTTTAAAGAGTTATCAAAGCTGGTAAAGGTGCAGCTAGTTTGAATGACTTTGTATACTGCAGGGTAGCTTGTGAATTTACTCCAGGTGGAACTAAAGTCTGATTTAACACTTGATTAGATTTCACATCATTCATCCAGATCTGTAAAGTAACTAAAAGTATTAAATACATGTAGTGGAGTACAAGTACAAAGTAGCATAAAGGGAAATATTCAAGTACAGGTATCTCAAAGTTGTACTTAAGTACTGTACTTTAGTACATCTACTAGTTACTTCCCTCTTCTGCTACTTTGTACTTTTACTCCACTACATGTATTTAATACCTTTAGTGACTTTACAGATATGGATGAATGATGTGAAATATAATCAAGTGTTAAATCAGACTTTAGTTCCACCTGGAGTAAATTCACAAGCTACCCTGCAGTATACAAAGTCATTCAAACTAGCTGCACCTTGACCAGCTTTGATAGCACCTTATCTCTGAGTACTTCTACTTTTACTCAAGTACAAGATCTGAGTACTTCTACTTGAACTCAAGATCTGAGTACTTCTTTAACTCAAGATCTGAGTACTTCTACTTTTACTCAAGTACAAGATCTGAGTACTTCTACTCTAACTCAAATACAAGATGTGACTACTTCTACTTTTACTCAAGTACAAGATCTAGGAAACCCTGCAGAAAGCAGCGTTAACACAGAGTAGAGGGAACATTACAGTGTGGTATTTCACAAAATTCAACCTATAAACACACAGATCAGATGGACACAGACTATAATATTTTTAATTGTCCATAAATACCAAACAGATGAAAGTCTATAATCACTTTGGGAGTAGGCCTACTTCTACTTTAACTCAAGTACAAGACCTGAGTACTTCCCACCTCTGTCACATGTTATCTGGATGAACTCAGTGTCTCCTCTCCTCTTCATGCAGCGGTCACCAAAGAGCACGTAGCCGCAGAAAGGGAAAGTGAAAGAGCAGAGCAACATGCAAGAGTCAGGCCAGAGAAGAAGCTATCAGTCTGTTCAGTAAGTACTCTTCTTTTAAGGCTGCTGCATATCTACCATGAAACTGGGTAACTCTGCAGGTTATACAAATCTAAGGTAATTTTAATTAAGTCTCATGGACTAACGCACGCTTTTTTAAGAGACAGAGGAGAGTGTTTGTGACGCATGTTTGAAGTGTGTGTACTAAAGGTTTCCATTTATCTTCCTCAGAAACATGGACGGCCAGGGACAGACAAAGGGTAAGAAGTGTCTTTAGAAATGAACTACATGTACACATTTACTCATCATTTTTGCAACTTTGTACACATTTCAGAGGTGACCTATTTTTTTACGACATTTTTAATGACTTTACAGATTACAATTCGTCCTTCCTGTCTAAAGAAAAGCATGTGTCTCTAAATGTGATGACTTTACATGTCAATTTATCCGTCAAATGTAAGGATTAGCAGGATATACAGCCTGTGTTATACATTATAACAGTAACACCCTAAGAGGGGCCATTTTACTGCAAGATGAATACTTTCACTTTCAAAATTCAAAGCTTGCTGCTAATACTCACACACAGCTTTAAATATAAGATGTAATTTAGTTTCAGGGTGTGGGCACTTTAACTTGAAGGACCTATGTGTAGAACAGGGCGGAATTATTGTCAGAAATTGAATATAATATTTACACAATCACATGATTATGAAAAAGGTTGTGCTTTTATCTTGCTGGACTACATTTATAACCATCATAACGTTGTGTTTGCTACGAAGCTTCTCCCCAATATTCATAATTCCAATGGAAACCCTCAATTGGCTTTTTTTGAGGCTTTTTTCTTCTTGGTTGGCATCGAAAAATGATACTAATTCTTGCAGCACTTAGTTGCAATCTGCATTTTCACCACTAGATGTCACTAAAGCTGGTCCTTTAAGTCAGTGGTTCCCAACCCTAGAGGTGCTTGAGGGTATTGCAGGGGATAGAAGAAAGATTAGGGGTGCAATATACCGTATTTCCTCACAAAAAAACATTTTAAAAATCAATTTTCTTAAGCCTGGTGTCCCTCACCCAGAACTATCAAAGCTTATAGAAGAAAAGCAAGTGTCAAGTGTCTCAATAAAAGCTCTTAACATAGATGTTGAAACTGCTAGAAGTGAGTCTTAATATTATTATTTTTCACTCACAATAAGTGTAAATGTCAAGTTTAAATGCATTTGTATTAAGGGTGAGTTATACAAGTGATTTTCATCTAAGGAGCAGTTGGGTTAAATACAATAACAAAAGGTTTAACATAAGAAACATAAAAAAAAAACACATGTTGAATTACTGTAAATTGATATTTCAACGTATATTTTTTACTTTTTTAATGCTTTTCTTTTTATATTTTGAGATGTTTACATTTTAGAATTGTTTGTTTCTACCCTTTTAATTTATCTTATGTGCAACGCCTTGTCTTTTATGCTGCTGCCACGCAAACATTTCTCAAATTGGGATCAAGAGAGTACATCTTATCTTATTTAATAGATAAGTGATTCTTATAGAATGGCGAGCAGCGCAAGGGGAACACGAGACAAAAAAGTTGGCTCTAATGGCGCATTAGAGCCCGTTTTTGGTTGCGTTTCCACTTGGCGTAGTACCGGCTAGTGGTACTATTTCACAGTTTTTCTGGCCCCATAAATTCGAGGTTCTTAGCGGGCAAACAACCAGGCTGTGTCGGACTGAGTATGCTAAACTAGAGAGAGAGAATCGCTGGCAAGGGGGCTACAACTACAACAAGATGAACATTTTTGACTGTGATTTAATTGTAATACACATTTCAAAATGATGCCGAAGTAACAACATACTGATACCGGTTAGTAAAAACCATGAATTAATGCTTTGACAAGTCTGCAGACAGACGGCAGGCGAAAAACCTTTTAAAATGCGTGTTTTCTGAATGGAGATCGGCTAAGCTAACGCAGTATATGCTCCGACCGTCCACACTCACAACAACGGCCTATTAACTGATCAAATGCAGTGAGATAGGAGTTGGTTGTTGTGATAAACCAACAGAGACAATTATACAACTGGATCTCTAGTCGTTAATAATGACATAGAGGTAAAAACAGAACAAAAGCAAGCATATTGGTCCGTTATATTATGGGAAGATGTGAAAACTTTACTTCTGTATTTTTACAATGGAGTCTGGTGGCTTTTGAGACTTTTAAGTCACACTTTTGGACACGGTTCTTCTGCATCTGGGTTTGTGGTATGAAGCTAAACAAAATTACTCAAAACAAATCTTCTCTGTGTTTAGTGCCGGGGAGGAAATTCCATGTCTCCGTGGCAGGATGTACCAACGGTGCTCATCAGACCTATGTTAATGACCTCAAAGGGATGGGTCAAATCGAGGTGGTCTCTCCTGAACAAAGTGACTACTTGGTGCTTTTCTGTCCCATCGCGTCTCGAGTTGGAAAAGACATCGGAGAGGCAATGGACAAAATCCCAGGTAGGAAATGTCTAGGACGATGATTGGCCGATTTCCCACTGGTTATTCAAAGGTACACAGGGAAATGTTAAAAAACGTTGTGTTATCTGTTAGAAGAATCTCACTCGTCACCGGCTTGAGCTTCAATATTAGGATCCATGTATTTATTATCCTCTCAGGAATGGAAGTAGTCAAAACAAAAAGAGAATTTGTTGGTATCTTTGTCAAAATGTCACAATTCTGACTTTTGGTCAAAATATCAAAATTCTGACTTTTTCTCAAAATTCTGACTTTTTCTCAAAAATCTCAAAATTCGGACTTTTCTCAAAATGTTAATAATCACTGGTCACCGGCTTGAGCTTCAATAATCAGGATCCATGTGTTTGTGATCCTCTCCAGAATGGAAGTAGTCATCTCATACAGAGCATCAACTAGTTCCTGAGCAGTGTCCTTCACATGCTGATATACAAGAGAGGGAGTTACACAGTCACAAGATGGAGGAATATAAAGCAGTATTCAATGTTTACTTCAGATTAGCTCCACGTCAGAAATGATCATGCTTGTCATATGTCTATCTCCATAGAGGCTGAATCATCATGTTAATCACATAGCTATCATATGCCTCAAACAGTCCTGATGCTCTTCTAGGTAATCATACATCCTGTCATGTCCACAGCTACAGTTGGGATACCTTTGTTATCACGTGTACTCTGATATTGGAAGAGTACCTTCAGTATTTTCCCAACATTATCTCTGTGCTCACAGGTGGGAAACCAATCGTTCTGGTGGTGATGCATCACACCTACGACAAAGATCATTTTGTGCCTGAAAGCAGGAGACTCGTGGAAAACCCGGATGTCATCGTCACCGTAGACGTTCTGTTCCATGAGAGCAAAATGCTGATCTGCAACCGCAATGACACGGCCTGGTTTCAGGTCAAGGATGTTCTTGGAGTTTCCCCTGCACAGGTAATTCATTTCACACACAATCAGTGTGAAGAGAACTGATCATGTGACTTTAAAGGGCTAGTTTGGATGTTTAGAAGTGGGGTTGTATGAGGTGTTTATCTATAGGCATTGTATCAGTTACAGTAGATGGCGGAGCGCACCTCAAAAAAGGGAAACCCAACGGAAATAATGAAAGATAATTCTAAGTGTACGGTATATTTGGAATATCTTCAGTGCTTAACCTTGCCATAAGCTCTAACTATACCTTATAAATACCTCAATAAACCCCAACCAATAACATTCAAACTATCCCTTCAAGAGGTTAGGAATCATTGCTGTGGTTTACCTCTGAATGGATGAATTTCTTCTGAATGACACTCGTTTTTTTTCTTCTCTTTCAGGACAGCAGCTGGCTATCTTGTAAGTATGGCTTTAATAATAACCTTCTATTTTCAGATGACAGTTTTCCAATATCTACATTAATAAGCCATTGCCATGTGAAAACCTTCTGTCTATAGTGGCTGTGAAGTGATATTTACCTAGTAGTACTCACGTGTAAAAAAGAGAAGCTATTAGGAGGTTAAAACCGGTGTTTTTTAAAGTTAGAATCCATTTAGTAACATATTATATCATAATACCCAAAATATCCTAATTCGTATTTTCTTAAGAAGCTGCAAATCAATTTGTATCTTGACGCTGAACTGCAGATCAACAATTGATAAAACTAAACTAATGAATGTTGCTCACTCTAGGATCAAATTCTAAACGTGCCGTACAGTTATTTGACTATTATATGATGCTAACGATTAGCTGGTTTAAAAACCCCAACAAAAAGCAATGTGGGTAGGTGTGTTGAAACGTAGTGTGGTGACTATTGCCACTCAATATCACAGAGGGATTGGCTGAACTGGGTAAACTAGTTGGACGCGTGTGATCTCCATTGCTTTCAATACCATTCATTTTCCAACAAACACGGTCAAAAAACTGTTTGCTCTTCCCAGTCCCAGATCACCCACCTGTACCAGGGACATCAATTATATCCTGTGGCCCCATTACGCCATCTAGTGTGCAAAATATAACAAATAACATATGTTTATGTTTATCTTTAAGGGACGTGTGTGCTGCAGAGGGTTGGACGTTGTTTTATGTCGTTGTGTTCCTGGACACTTCATCTCATATTGGCTACAGTATTGAGTAAGTATGTCGCTTTGGATAAAAGCGTCTAACAAGTAACATGTAATGTATGTTTATTTAGGATCCCCATTAGCTTTTGCTCTTGACAAAAGCTACTCTTCCTGGGGTCCGACACTTAAAACAATACAACAATACTCAACAGCATTCAAGACATAAGTCCTGACATCATTAACAACATCACCAACATCATGAACAATCTCATCCACTTTCAACATCAAACTCAGCCAAGGATGAGTGCACAAGACACCCACTAGTACAAAGCATGAAATTAAATTAAATTAGGGTTCACAGTTCACAAGGGGTACATGCTCATTAGTAGATGGCACTTCAATCTCTTCTTGAAAGAGGCTCTGGACTCTATGTCAGCAAGGTAGTTTGGCAATGAGTTCCATTGTAGCTCTCTAAGTCACAGAAGAGTTCAGAAGATGTGTCCTGGGTGTAGGTGCCAGCAGATGGCCTGATGTAGCTTGTCTAGTCTGATGGTCATGCTCGTCTCTTGTGTAAAATATTTGATCATAAAAATACAGTGTTTTTTTTGCCAAATTGGACATTTCTGAGAAAAGTGATAACACGAGATTGCAGACGTTTCTCAACCAGAAGCCGTGATAGATTTCTATGCATAACTCCAATATGAGTGTAATGGCTGCAACACGTAGTATAGATTCAAGATTCAAGGGTTTTATTATCACGTGCACAGCAGCTACAGTGTAGCTATGGCAATGCAAATCTTAGGTTCCTCCAACAATGCAACATATTATATATACAGGACATAAGACAAAAAAATATATATAATAAAAAACTTGAAATAGTGCAAATGAAACGGAGTACAATCAATTTGAATAAAATAGTGCAGGTGAAAGAAGAGAATGTAAGGTTAAACATTGTACAGAGAAATGCAATTAACTATAACTACTAACATATAGTTAATACCTATGGGTTTTATGAAATGGCACGTTAACTTCTATTTGTTCTTGAAATTACTCATGAAGACGTCATATTCTTCATTATATGATATTTTAAGATTGAGGTACTACAGTTTTACTAACGCTGGTGGTGGCCATCATTTGTATCGGAAAAGTAGGAACATGTGATTCCTAGCAAGATGCCAACCAGGCTTTAAAAAAAAAAAGTATATTGAAAATGACTAAATGGACAAATGGCCAAAGCTGTAAAAAAACAGATTGTAAAAAAGTGTATTTTATTTCCTTTGTAATAAGAAAAAACCCATGTGATCTAAATCATGTTGTGCACGCTGTTGATATGAGATGACTGATTGATCTTTTCTTTCTTTCAGACATCGGAGAGGCAATGGACAAAATCTCAGGTAGGAAATGTCTAGGACGATGATTGGCCGATTTCCCACTGGTACAGGGAAATGTTTAAAAAAACGTTGTGTTATCTGTTAGAAAAATCTCTTGAGCTTCAATATCAGGATCCATGTATTTATTATCCTCTCAAGAATGGAGGTAGTCAAAACAAAAAAAGAGAATATGTTGGTATTTTTGTCAAAATCTCAAAATTCGGACTTTTTCAAAATTCTGACTTTTTTCTCAAAGTTCTGACTTTTTCTCAAAATTCTGACTTTTTCTCAAAATTCTGACTTTTTCTCAAAAATCTCAAAATTATGACTTTTCTCAAAAATCTCAAAATTATGACTTTTTCTCAAAATGTTAATAATCACTGGTCACCGGCTTGAGCTTCAATCTCAGGATACATGTGTTTGTGATCCTCTCAAGAATGGAAGTAGTCATCACATACAGAGCATCAACTAGTTCCTGAACAGGGGGGGGGGGTGCTAGGTGGAGCCTCGCAGTGGCGAAACCGTGCCGCGCCACACTAATTGCGCCAGTCTGCGTGATCCGCCTGTAGGGAGGCACGGCCCTGATCTCACGTATCTACTATAATGCATAGCTGATTGTGTTTTATATATAAAATATGAATCTGCAAGGAATTTAAAAAGGAGTATTATCTGATACATGTAATTGAAGCAACACAATGTTTGCCCCTGAGATGTAATGCACAGGAAGTAAAGGCTGATGAAATGGAAATATTTAAGTTGTAGGAGTTTACGAGCAGACTTTGAATGCAGCATTAGGGGGGGTGCGTCCTTCTAGGTTGGCATTGAAACATGATACTAATTCTTGCAGCACTTAGTTGCAATCTGCATTTTCACCACTGGATTTCACTAAAGCTGGTTCTTTAAGTCAGTGGTTCCCAACCCTAGAGGTGCTTGAGGGTATTGCAGGGGATAGGAAGAAAGATTAGGGGTGCAATATACAGTATTTCCTCACAACAACAAAAAAATTAAAATCATTCATAAGCTTTTCTTAAGAAGCTGCAAATCAATTTGTATCTTGACGCTGAACTGCAGATCAACAATTGATAAAACTAAACTAATGAATGTTGCTCACTCTAGGATCAAATTCTAAACGTGCCGTACAGTTATTTGACTATTATATGATGCTAATGATTAGCTGGTTTAAAAACCCCAACAAAAAGCAATGTGGGTAGGTGTGTTGAAACGTAGTGTGGTGACTATTGCCACTCAATATCACAGAGGGAATGGCTGAACTGGGTAAACTAGTTGGACGCGTGTGATCTCCATTGCTTTCAATACCATTTATTTTCCAACAAACACGGTCAAAAAACTGTTTGCTCTTCCCATTCCCAGATCACCCACCTGAACCAGGGACATCAATTATATCCTGTGGCCCCATTACGCCATCTAGTGTTCAAAATATAACAAATAACATATGTTTATGTTTATGCTTAAGGGATGCCTGCGGTGCAGAGGTTTATGTTTTGGTGCGGTTTCATCAGTTCGTGTGTGACGTCGTGCGGTTGGTGCATGAAGTTGTGTGGTTGGTGCATGAAGTTGTGCGGTGGTGCATGACGTTATGGTCCAAGACACTTCACCCCAGATCGGCTACAGTATCGAGTAAGTAAGTCGCTTTGGATAAAAGTGTCTAACAAGTGACATGTAATGTATGTTTATTTAGGATCCCCATTAGCTTTTGCTCTTGACAAAAGCTACTCTTCCTGGGGTCCGACACTTAAAACAATACAACAATACTACTCAACACAACAACATTCAAGACATAAGTCCTGACATCATTAACAACACCAACATCATCAACAATCTCATCCACTTTCAACATCAAACTCAGCCAAGGATGAGTGCACAAGACACCCACCAGTACAAAGCATGAAATAAAATTAAATTAGGGTTCACAGCTCACAAGGGGTACATGCTCATTAGTAGATGGCACTTCAATCTCTTCTTGAAAGAGGCTCTGGACTCTATGTCAGCAAGGTAGTTTGGCAATGAGTTCCATTGTAGCTCTCTAAGTCACAGAAGAGTTCAGAAGATGTGTCCTGGGTTTAGGTGCCAGTAGATGGCCTGATGTAGCTTGTCTAGTCTTATGGTCATGCTCGTCTCTTGTGTAAACTATTTGATCATAATTGGACATTTTCCAATTTTTCATTTCTCAACCAGAAGCCATGATAGATTTCTATGCATAACTCCAATATGAGTGTAATGGCTGCAACACGTAGTATAGATTCAAGATTCAAGGGTTTTATTATCACATGCACAGCAGCTACAGTGTAGTTATGGCAATGCAAAGCTTAGGTTCCTCCAACAATGCAACATATTATATATACAGGACATAAGACAACATTTTTTATAATAATACAAAAATAAAAATAGTGCAAATGAAACAAAGTACGATACATTTGAATAAAATAGTGCAGGTGAAAGAAAAGATTGTAAGGTTAAATAGTGTACAGTGAAATAAAATAATATAACTACTAACATATAGGTAATACCTGTGGGTTTCATGAAATTACACGTTAACTTCTATTTGTTCTTGAAATGACTCATATTCTTCATTATATGATATTTTTAGATTGAGGTACTATAGTTTTACTAACGCTGGTGGTGGCCATCTTTTGTATCAGAAAAAATTATGAACATGTGACTCCTAGCAAGATGCCAACCAGGCTTTAAAAAATATATATATTGAAAATGACTGAATGGACAAATGGCCAAAGCTGTAAAAAAACAGATTGTAAAAAAGTGTATTTTATTTCCTTTGTAATAAGAAAAAACCCATGTGATCTAAATCATGTTGTGCTTGCTGTTGATATGAGATGACTGATTGATCTTTTCTTTCTTTCAGACTGGAGGATTATTGGACGAATTGTTGTTGTTGTTGTTGTTGTTGTCAAAATCATGTCGCATACACAGAAGTAAGAAGACCTCAGGGGTTTATTATTCCAATAAATGCATTTTGAAGGGACAAAAGTGCATGTGCAATGCATTTGCAATCAACGGGAAATGAAGGATGCTATTAAACTATTAACATAGATGCTTTTGAGCTGAAGCTTTGGATCACTGATGTTTTATCTAAGGTGCATTAGAGAAGAATAGATGGAAGAATAACAAACCTGCTTTAAGTAAATGACACTTACAAATTCAAATGAAATTCAAGTTAAACTTATAAGACAAACCTGCCATTCGTTGAAAAGTCTTTAAAGTCTACAGTATTATTAATAAAGTTCCTCCTGGCACTGAAGAAATCTTTTAAACAGAGATTTTAATGTAGGTGAATGGGTACAAACGTGTTAAATGAGAATGTTAATTCAGTGTGCTTTTGAGATATACAGATTTGTTAACATAATGTTTAAATGTGTGCCGTAGAGAAGTGTGTGATCAAATCTTATCAAGTTTAACATATCCTAAAATATCTGTAAAACCCTGCTGCAGCTGCTTTGTGCTCATTAAAACATCAACATAATAAATACAAATCAATCAATCACAGTGTCTGTGTACATGTGTCTCATTGTGGATGAACATGTTTCCAGGGCCGTCCCTGGCCAACATGAGGCCCCACGCAAAGATATATGATGAGGCCCTCTGTTTCGCGGGCGTCGACGGGGGACGGGGGACGGGGGACGGGGGACGGGGGACGGGGGACGGGCGTCGGCGTGCTAGGTGGAGCCTCGCAGTGGCGAAACCGTGCCGCGCCACACTAATTGCGCCAGTCTGCGTGATCGGCCTGTAGGGAGGCACGGCCCTGATCTCACGTATCTACTATAATGCAAAGCTGATTGTGTTTTATATATAAAATATGAATCTGCAAGGAATTTAAAAACGAGTATTATCTGATACATGTAATTGAAGCAACACAATGTTTGCCCCTGAGATGTAATGCACAGGAAGTAAAGGCTGATGAAATGGAAATATTTAAGTTGTAGGAGTTTACGAGCAGACTTTGAATGCAGCATTAGGGGGGGCGCGTCCTCCTGACAGCCTGCCTCTGAGAGCTGATAGGCTGCATCAGGGGAGTGGGATATAAGTAGACATTTAATACAAATAATGAAAAGCTTAAAGTGGACCTATCATGCTATATTTAAATGATATATTGTAGGGCCATACCTATATAAGGTATATTTATACGTTTCTGTTTTCAAAATACCAAACAGATCATGCATTTTAGCCATGCCTCATTTCGCTCTATGTGCTGTTTGCTGTCTACGGGGCTGATTCTGTGACTGCAGCTGACCACGCCCCCCTGCAGGAGAGGGGAGCCGTGCTCTGATCAAGTCAAGAGGGGGAGAAAAAGAGATCTCCGTCCTCCGTGTTTTATTATATAGAGTCGTTATTCATTTGTTTTAAAGCTCAATAAATAACAAAGAAGACCTTTGACCGGCACTTTTCTAATTTTGTCCGGAAGATTTCAACTTTAACGGACATCTTGACAGGCGAAAGAAACTGAAACTGAAACTGCCGCACGGTCCCCTCGTTCCTTGGAAGAGGCGGAGAGGTGGGTGTTTGTTATCTGCTGGTGGACTAACCGGAGAGAATTACAGTGCTTGCCTCGACGGGGAGGGATTGCATTGAATTAAAGCAGCGGGAGCAAACGCTTGCCTCGGGGAGGGAGAAAAAAAGCCACAGCGGAGAATAAACAGAAGGGTAACCATGGTAACTATGGGCGGGAAGTCTTCTTCGCTGCTTTTGTGGCAGACTACAGCGCCACTTACAGGCCTGGCATATGTACTACAGCGTCTCCAGCGCTTTCGAGCGGCAATGGCCGGCCGTGGCCCAACCCCACATTCCCCTGATAGGTGGCCCAATAGCCGTAGCGCCACTTCTGTGACGACATAGAAGTGTTCAAATCTGGATCAGTTTTTATCAGATCCGTTGCAGCCCCTTTTTTAGAGATTTGGGTATGGAGGAAAATAGAGAGGGTTGTGTTTTCTGACACTTGGTGAGTTCCCTGGAACACCGGGGACACATATTCATGTATACAAGACGTACAAAAGTGCATTTTGCATGATAGGTCCCCTTTAAATTAAATCAAGTTTGAGGGTCAAGCTGTAAGTCTGAGTAGATTTAAATGTAAAAGGACGAATAATTAAAGTTGCATTTAAGATCTTCATTCCTGTACATTATTTAATTTTCTCATCTTATTCTATTTGACATGTACAGTTTATTTCACCTTTGATTATAATGATTGATCATGAAAGTGTTCTCAAAGCTGGTAAAGGTGCTGATAGTTTGAATGACTTTGTATACTGCAGGGTAGCTTGTGAATTTACTCCAGGTGGAACTAAAGTCTGATTTAACACTTGATTATATTTCACATCATTCATCCACATCTGTAAAGTAACTAAAGGTATTAAATACCATTTACCTCTGAATTGTAGAGGAGTAGAAGTACAAAGTAGCATTAAGGGAAATACTCAAGTATAGTACAAGTACCTCAAATGTGTACTTAAGTACTGTACTTGAGTAAATACTTTTAAACCTTTAGTTGCTTTAGTGATCTGGATGAATGATGTGAAATATAATCAGCTCTTAAATCAGACTTTAGTTCCACCTGGAGTAAATTCACAAGCTACCCTGCAGTATACAAAGTCATTCAAACTAGCTGCACCTTTACCAGCTTTGAGAACACTTTCATGATCAATCATTATAAAACATATCATATATATTATTCTGAAATGGACCAATCTGCACAATGAGTACTTTTACTGTCGCTACTTCAACTATATTTTGATGATAATACTTTTCTACTTTTACTTGAGTAACATTTTGAATGCAGGACTTTTAGTTGTAACAGAGTATTCCTACTCTGGTAGATCTGAGTACTTATACTCAAGTCAAATATCTGAGTACTTCTAGCCTTCTTTTACTCAAGTACAAGATCTGAGTACTTCTACTCTAACTCAAATACAAGATGTAACTACTTCTACTCTAACTCAAGTACAAGATCTGAGTACTTCTACTCTAACTCAAATACAAGATGTGACTACTTATACTTTTACTCAAGTACAAGATCTAGGAAACCCTGCAGAAAGCAGCGTTAACACAGAGTAGAGGGAACATTACAGTGTGGTATTTCACAAAATGCAACCTATAAACACACAGATCAGATGGACACAGACTATAATATTTTTAATTGTCCATAAATACCAAATAGATGAAAGTCGATAATCACTTTGGGAGTACTTCTACTTTAACTCAAGTACAAGACCTGAGTACTTCCCACCTCTGTCACATGTTATGAGAGGAGACACAGTGTCTCCTCTCCTCTTCCTGCAGCGGTCACCAGAGAGCGCGTAGCCGCAGAAAGGGAAAGTGAAAGTGCAGAGCAACATGCAAGAGTCAGGCCAGATAAACTATCAGTCTGTTCAGTAAGTACTCTTCTTTTAAGGCTGCTGCATATCTACCATGAAACTGGATAACTCTGCAGATTATACAATTCTAAGGTAATTTTAATTAAGTCTCAAGGACCAACGCACGCTTTTTTAAGAGACAGAGAAGAGTGTTTGTGACGCATGTTTGAAGTGTGTGTACTAAAGGTTTCCATTTATCTTCCTCAGAAACATGGACGGCCAGGGACAGAGACAGGGTAAGAAGTGTCTTTAGAAATGAACTACATGTACACATTTACTCATCATTTTTGCAACTTTATACACATTTCAGAGGTGACCTATTTTTTTACGACATTTTTAATGACTTTACAGATTACAATTCGTCCTTCCTGTCTAAAGAAAAGCATGTGTCTCTAAATGTGATGACTTTACATGTCAATTTATCCGCGTCAAATGTAAGGATTAGCAGGATATACAGCCTGTGTTATATAACAGTAACACCCTAAGAGGGGCCATTTTACTGCACAATGAATACTTTCACTTTCAAAATTCAAAGCTCAGTTGCTGCTAATACTCACACACAGCTTTAAATATACGACTTTAATTTAGTTTCAGGGTGTGGGCACTTTAACTTGAAGGACCTATGTGTAGAACAGGGCGGAATTATTGTCAGAAATGGAATATAATATTTACACAATCACATGATTATGAAGAAGGTTGTGCTTTTATCTTGCTGGACTAAACTTATAACCATCATAACGTTGTGCTTGCTACGAAGCTTCTCCCCAATATTCATAATTCCAATGGAAACCCTCAATTGGCTTTTTTTTAGGCTTTTTTCTTCTTGGTTGGCATCGAAAAATGATAATAATTCTTGCAGATCATAGTTGTAATCTGCATTTTCACCACTAGATGTCACTAAAGCTACACACTGGTCCTTTCAGTCAGTGGTTCCCAACCCTAGAGGTGCTTAAGGGTATTGCAGGGGATAGGAAGAAAGATTAGGGATTGAAATATACAGTATTTCCACACAAAAAAACATTTTAAAATCAATTTTCATAAGCCTGGTGTCCCGCCCCCAGAACTATCAAAGCTTATGAAAGACAAGCAAGTGTCAAGTGTCTCAATAAAAGCTCTTAACATAGATGTTGAAACTGCTAGAAGTGAGTCTTAATATTATTATTTTCACTCACAATAAGTGTAAATGTCAAGTTTAAATGCATTTGTATTAAGGGTGAGGTATACAAGTGATTTTCATCTAAGGAGCAGTTGGGTTAAATACAATAACAAAACGTTTAACATAAGAAACATTAAAAAAACACACATGTTGAATTACTGTAAATTGATATTTCAACATGTATATATATATATTTTTTAATGCTTTTCTTTTTCTATTTTGAGATGTTTACATTTTAGAATTGTTTATTTCTACCCTTTTAATTTCTCTTATGTGCAACGCCTTGTCTTTTATGCTGCTGCCACGCAAACATCTCCCAAATTGGGATCAAGAGAGTACATCTTATCTTATTTAATCAAAATAACAGTGATTCTTATAGAATAGTGACCAGCGCAAGGAGAACACGAGACAAAAAAGTTCGCTTTAAGTGAACAAAATAAGTACTTTTCCACCATGGTGGACAAGACTGCAATATTCCAGTATTATAGACACTACACTACATTTAGTCATTAAAATAAAGCTGCTTTGCTAATATTTCTGATACTTTTTTAATGGTTTAACTGATCAAATGTAGTGAAACAATTATACAACTGGATCTCTGGTCGTTATTAATGACAGAGAGGTAAAAACAGAACAAAAGCAAGCATATTGGTCCGTTATATTATGGTGGTGGTTTTTGGGAAGATGTGAAAACTTTACTTCTGTATTTTTACAATGGAGTCTGGTGGCTTTTGAAACTTCAGTCACACTTTTGGACACGGTTCTTCTGCATCTGGGTTTGTGGTATGAAGCAAAAAAAAAGGACTCAATACAAATCTTCTCTGTGTTTAGTGCCGGGGAGGAAATTCCATGTCTCCGTGGCAGGATGTACCAACGGTGCTCATGAGACCTATGTTAATGACCTCAAAGGGTCGGGTCAAATCGAGGTGATCTCTCCTGAACAAAGTGACTACTTGGTGCTTTTCTGTCCCATCGCGTCTCGAGTTGGAACAGACATCGGAGAGGCAATGGACAAAATCCCAGGTAGGAAATGTCTAGGACGATGATTGGCCGATTTCCCACTGGTTATTCAAAGGTACACAGGGAAATGTTAAAAAACGTTGTGTTATCTGTTAGAAGAATCTCACTCGTCACCGGCTTGAGCTTCAATATCAGGATCCATGTATTTATTATCCTCTCAGGAATGGAAGTAGTCAAAACAAAAAGAGAATTTGTTGGTATTTTTGTCAAAATTCTGACTTTTGGTCAAAATCTCAAAATTCTGACTTTTTCTCAAAAATCTCAAATTTTGACTTTTTTTCCAAAATCTGACTTTTTCTCAAAAATCTCAAAATTCTGACTTTTCTCAAAATGTTAATAATCACTGGTCACCGGCTTGAGCTTCAATCTCAGGATCCATGTATTTGTGATCCTCTCCAGAATGGAAGTAGTCATCACATACAGAGCATCAACTAGTTCCTGAACAGTGTCCTTCACATGCTGATATCCAAGAGAGGGAGTTACACAGTCACAAGATGGAGGAATATAAAGCAGTATTCAATGTTTACTTCAGATTAGCTCCACGTCAGAAATGATCATGCTTGTCATATGTCTATCTCCATAGAGGCTGAATCATCATGTTAATCACATAGCTATCATATGCCTCAAACAGTCCTGATGCTCTTCTAGGTAATCATACATCCTGTCATGTCCACAGCTACAGTTGGGATACCTTTGTTATCATGTGTACTCTGGTATTGGAAGAGTACCTTCAGTATTTTCCCAACATTATCTCTGTGCTCACAGGTGGGAAACCAATCGTTCTGGTGGTGATGCATCACACCTACGACAAAGATCATTTTGTGCCTGAAAGCAGGAGACTCGTGGAAAACCCGGATGTCATCGTCGCCGTAGACGTTCTGTTCCATGAGAGCAACATGCTGATCTGCAACCGCAATGACACGGCCTGGTTTCAGGTCAAGGATGTTCTTGGAGTTTCCCCTGGACCGGTAATCCATTTCACACACAATCAATAAGAAGAAAACTGATCATGTGACTTTAAAGGGCTTGTTTGGATGTTTAGAAGTGGGGTTGTATGAGGTGTTTATCTATAGGCATTGTATCAGTTACAGTAGATGGCGGAGCGCACCCCAAAAAAGGGAAACCCAACGTAAATAATGAAAGATAATTCTAAGTGTACGGTATATTTGGAATATCTTCAGTGCTTAACCTTGCCATAAGCTCTAACTATACCTTATAAATACCTCAATAAACCCCAACCAATAACATTCAAACTATCCCTTCAAGAGGTTAGGAATCATTGCTGTGGTTTACCTCTGAATGGATGAATTTCTTCTGAATGACACTCGTTTTTGTTCTTCTCTTTCAGGTCTTCAGCTGGCTATCTTGTAAGTATGGCTTTAATAATAACCTTCTATTTTCAGATGACAGTTTTCCAATATCTACATTAATAAGCCATTGCCATGTGAAAACCTTCTGTCTATAGTGGCTGTGAAGTGATATTTACCTAATAGTACTCACGTGTAAAAAAGAGAAGCTATTTGGAGGTTAAAACCGGTGTTTTTTAAAGTTAGAATCCATTTAGTAACATATTATATCATAATACCCAAAATATCCTAATTCGTATTTTCTTAAGAAGCTGCAAATCAATTTGTATCTTGACGCTGAACTGCAGATCAACAATTGATAAAACTAAACTAATGAATGTTGCTCACTCTAGGATCAAATTCTAAACGTGCCGTACAGTTATTTGACTATTATATGATGCTAACGATTAGCTGGTTTAAAAACCCCAACAAAAAGCAATGTGGGTAGGTGTGTTGAAACGTAGTGTGGTGACTATTGCCACTCAATATCACAGAGGGAATGGCTGAACTGGGTAAACTAGTTGGACGCGTGTAATCTCCATTGCTTTCAATACCATTTATTTTCCAACAAACACGGTCAAAAAACTGTTTGCTCTTCCCAGTCCCAGATCACCCACCTGTACCAGGGACATCAATTATATCCTGTGGCCCCATTACGCCATCTAGTGTGCAAAATATAACAAATAACATATGTTTATGTTTATGGTTATTTAGGATCCCCATTAGCTTTTGCTCTTGACAAAAGCTACTCTTCCTGGGGTCCGACACTTAAAACAATACAACAATACTCAACACAACAACATTCAAGACATAAGTCCTGACATCATTAACAACATCACACACATCATGAACAATCTCATCCACTTTCAACATCAATCTCAGCCAAGGATGAGTGCACAAGACACCCACCAGTACAAAGCATGAAATTAAATTAAATTAGGGTTCACAGTTCACAAGGGGTACATGCTCATTAGTAGATGGCACTTCAATCTCTTCTTGAAAGAGGCTCTGGACTCTATGTCAGCAAGGTAGTTTGGCAATGAGTTCCATTGTAGCTCTATAAGTCACAGAAGAGTTCAGAAGATGTGTCCTGGGTGTAGGTGCCAGTAGATGGCCTGATGTAGCTTGTCTAGTCTGATGGTCATGCTCGTCTCTTGTGTAAACTATTTGATCATAATTGGACATTTTCCAATTTTTCATTTCTCAACCAGAAGCCAAGATAGATTTCTATGCATAACTCCAATATGAGTGTAATGGCTGCAACACGTAGTATAGATTCAAGATTCAAGGGTTTTATTATCACGTGCACAGCAGCTACAGTGTAGTTATGGCAATGCAAAGCTTAGGTTCCTCCTAGGGTTTTATGAAATGACACGTTAACTTCTATTTGTTCTTGAAATGACTCATATTCTTCATTATATGATAATTTAAGATTGAGGTACTATAGTTTTACTTTTCCCTTCTGGCAACGCTGGTGGTGACCATCTTTTGTATCGGAAATGTAACTCCAAGCAAGATGCCAACCAAACTTTAAAAAATACATATATATATATTGAAAATAACTGAATGGACAAATGGCCAAAGCTGTAAAAAAGAGTATTTTATTTCCTTTGTAATAAGAAAAAACCTCCATGTGATCTAATTCATGTTGTGTTTGCTGTTGATGAGATGACTGATTGATCTTTTCTTTCTTTCAGACTGGAGGAAATACCGAAAGATGATTATTATTACAGTAATTGTTGTTGGAGGTGTCATTGTGTCCGTGGAAGCGTCAGTGCACTATCCACAGAAGTAAGAAGACCTCAGGGGTTTATTATTCCAATAAATGCATTTTGAAGGGACTAAAGTGCATGTGCAATGCATGTGCAATCAACGGGAAATGAAGGATGCTATTCAACTATTAACATAGATGCTTTTGAGCTGAAGCTTTGGATCACTGATGTTTTATCTAAGGTGCATTAGAGAAGAATAGATGGAAGAATAACAAACCTGCTTTAAGTAAATGACACTTACAAATTCACACAAAATTCAAGTTAAACTTATAAGACAAACCTGCCATTCGTTGAAAAGTCTTTAAAGTCGACTCTCCAGTATTATTGATAAAGTTCCTCCTGTCAAAATTGACACGGCCTGGTTTCAGGTCAAGGATGTTCTTTTGGTTTCCCCTGGACCGGTAATCCATTTCACACACAATCAATGTGAAGAGAACTGATCATGTGACTTTAAAGGGCTAGTTTGGATGTTTAGAAGTGGGGTTGTATGAGGTGTTTATCTATAGGCATTGTATCAGTTACAGTAGATGGCGGAGCGCACCCCAAAAAGGGAAACCCAACGTAAATAATGAAAGATAATTCTAAGTGTACGGTATATTTGGAATATCTTCAGTGCTTAACCTTGCCATAAGCTCTAACTATACCTTATAAATACCTCAATAAACCCCAACCAATAACATTCAAACTATCCCTTCAAGAGGTTAGGAATCATTGCTGTGGTTTACCTCTGAATGGATGAATTTCTTCTGAATGACACTCGTTTTTTTTCTTCTCTTTCAGGTCAGCAGCTGTTGCAGTTGTTGCTGTTGTAAGTATGGCTTTAATAATAACGTGCCGTACAGTTATTTGACTATTATATGATGCTTGTTCTACGACATTAAATACATCAGCAGTGACCCCACTGGGGATTTTTGAAGAGTTTACGTGTCTGAAAAACGATGGTTGTTAACAAGTGGCTGAATAGGACTACAGAAGTTGTGGAGGCCGTTGTACGTCATTACGCCGAACACGTGAACACTCCTCTAAGTTTGTTTGCCCTGTTCTGCTTGAAAGCAAGTACCTGCCTCCTGCAAACTGTTCAAACAAACGCTTCAACTTGAACCATTTTGAATCTGTATTTTTGAATATGGATCTTAAGTTGGCGTGACGTCGGCAAAATGCTAACTCACTTCTGGGTTTTAGGACTCGTCACTGCACCACTCTATTAGCTGGTTTAAAAACCCCAACAAAAAGCAATGTGGGTAGGTGTGTTGAAACGTAGTGTGGTGACTATTGCCACTCAATATCACAGAGGGAATGGCTGAACTGGGTAAACTAGTTGGACGCGTGTAATCTCCATTGCTTTCAATACCATTCATTTTCCAACAAACACGGTCAAAAAACAGTTTGCTCTTCCCAGTCCCAGATCACCCACCTGTACCAGGGACATCAATTATATCCTGTGGCCCCATTACGCCACCTAGTGTTCAAAATATAACAAATAACATATGTTTATCTTTAACGGAGGCGTGTGGTGCAGTGGGTTGTGCGTTGGTGCATGTCGTTGTGTCCCTGAGACACTTCACCCCAGATTGCTCCTGTGGGGATTGGCCACAGCATTGAGTAAGTAAGTCGCTTTGGATAAAAGCGTCTAACAAATAACATGTAATCTATGTTTATTTAGGATCCCCATTAGCTTTTGCTCTTGACAAAAGCTACTCTTCCTGGGGTCCGACACTTAAAACAATACAACAATACTCAACAACATTCAAGACATAAGTCCTGACATCATTAACATCACACACATCATGAACAATCTCATCCACTTTCAACATCAAACTCAGCCAAGGATGAGTGCACAAGACACCCACCAGTACAAAGCATGACATTAAATTAAATTAGGGTTCACAGTTCACAAGGGGCAACCTGGTCTCACCAGAGTGCGTGACTCCACCACGACTCCTTAACACCGCATTGCGTGGTGGAGTCACGAACTTTGCTACATTTACGTGTCTGCACCACGCAAACAACCCCAATGTAAAGTGAATGAGGCTCCTTTGTCGTGGTGCACACACACATTTCTACAACGTCCAGCAGTGAGCTTTTATTCTATAAAACGTTTTTAAAATCTACTTTATAGCTTGTAGTAACTCACAGGAGGCTTCTTTTATTTTATTTGTATTCATAATAATTTTTATTTTTCGTCAGAATGTATTATGGTGCATTATTCACCAATGTTTGTTCTCAAAAAACAGTGCATTGTGTGTAATACAACTGTGATTTTTATTAAATTAGTTCGTTTTTAAGGAAGGCCAGAGCTTCAGCTGTGTCAAAGAGATTGTTCCCTTTAGTTAACGTTATTTAAAAGATAATTATATTCCTATTTGATCAAGTCCACTTTATTGTATTACGGACCCAAAGAGCGATGAGCGTCCATTCCCATTGGATAACAGAGCATTTTACACCCGGAAGTAAGTATTCTCCTTACTGTCCATTGATTTTATTTACAGTGATATCTGCACTACTCATCGACTCAAAAACACCAGATTATCCTTGTTAATTACACAACATTGATTGGTTTAAATTGTGTACAATGCTTTTGTATTTTCCCCTTTCGATTCGGAGAAACAAATATTTTTTCGGAGTGTGTGGATGGCAGAAGACACTACACTACCCAGAATCTTCAGCTATGGGACTACACCATGTGCTTAGAACGTGTCCTATCCCCCCCCCCCCCCCCCCCCCCTTAGGTCACAGGCTCCTCCAACAGTGCAACACAATAAAACAGATAGGCTCCACAGAACAAATAGTGCAAGTAAATACAAAAAGAAAAATAGTAAAATAGTAAAAAGTGAAATAGTGCAATAAGAGTCTATATACAAGTGATTGGAATATGATATATTAGATAAATAATTTCTAAGTAGCAGCCAGATGAATGGTATGGATGTTGTTTCTAAGTTCAGGTGTTTAATAGTCTTATGGCCTGTGGGATGAAACTGTCCCTGAGTCTGGTGGTTTTAGTCCGGATGCTGCGGTACCGCCTGCCAGACGGCAGCAGACAGAACAGTTTGTGGGGTGATGGGGGTCTTTTATAATCCTGAGGGCTTTCTTTAAGGTTAACCTGGTATTTTTACTCCACTACATTTATTTTAGTTACTTTACAGATTTGGATTAATGATGTGAAATATGAACAACCCTTAAATCAGACTTTAGTTACACCTGAGTAAAATTCAGTGAATTCAGCCAACAATCAGGCGAGATATTTGGTAGTGGGTGCTTGAGAAGACTAAATATTTATCTGCAGATCCCTATAAAGCATATTCATTACTCGTTATTCTCTACTAATAGTTAATTAAAAACTGTATATAATGGCTATTTTGCACATCCCTTTCAAGATTTCAAGATTTTCTAAGGTTTATTGACATATCATATACACAACTACGGTGTAGTTATGCAATGAATGAAACACTTGGGTCACAGGTTCATCAACAGTGCATTACAAGACATCTATCGATATCTGTGTACCTCCACCATTAAACATATTCTGCACATTTCTTATACTATCTACATACATCTTATAAGAGTATAATTAATATGTATAATATCAGTTAAAATAAGTGCTTCAACATAGTTAACATTGCAGGAAAGTTGATTGTCAAGTTCCAAAACAAACCATGCAATATATTAGACGTTAAGTACTTTGTCAGGCTTAATATCTGTAGATACCCCCAAAGCTTTTTTCTTATTTAAAAGAAGACCTTAACCTAAAGTATTCTTTAATGTTTAAATAAAGCCTTATTAGTTTGTCTGTTTTGCACATCCTCCTATCAGGCACTAAACTGTTTTATTGTAGAGATCACTTACAGTATCTTCTTGATATTTTCTATTCTATATTATTTATATCATTGACCTTCCACTTTCCCACTATATTAAGAGTATGTACTCTTAATATTTAAATGTTTTCATCAAATATAACACATTCAAAAGTGCTTTACAAAAATGAAAGACATTAAGAAAAAGGCATTTTAAAACAGTCATTAAAAAGCAACACCTGCATTGCATTACTCTAAACGTGTAATAACGTGCTTTAACCAGTAGGAGGTGCGGGTTAAAAAGCTGTCAAGTTTACAGTGTTAACAAAATAAAATATACTGCTGTTTCTGGTTTAGTTTACGACGGATATATTCTGTTATTGTTTTGATATTTGTAATACAAAAGCGATGTAAAAAAAACCACAGCAACACAGAAAAGATGGTCTTAACATGACCCAGCGGTCTAGTAGTTAATAAAAAACAATAATATCAAAACAAATTATTACTACTAACTTTATTGTGAAATTAAAATAGAACGGTAAAAGAATAGTTTCCGGTCCATTCTGAGGCCCGATCTCTGTAGATAAATAAAGAACTACGACAGATGTGTAATGTTTAATGCAGCCAAACCATTCATTACAATGCATTCATGTGATGACTTTCAAAGAGTAAAGCAAGCACTGCTGAATAAAGTATGATTTGATCTTTTACGAAACGTTTTTTTCATTGGAATGCAGTTGGAGGTCAACCAATCACAGAGCTTGAGGTAAAGCGGAACAATAGCTGAGGATTCTGGGTAGTGTAGTGTCTTCTGCCATCCACACACTCCGAAAAAATATTTGTTTCTCCGAATCGAAAGGGGAAAATACAAAAGCATTGTTCACAATTTAAACCAATCAATGTTGTGTAATTAACAAGGATAATCTGGTGTTTTTGAGTCGATGAGTAGTGCAGATATCACTGTAAATAAAATCAATGGACAGTAAGGAGAATACTTACTTCCGGGTGTAAAATGCTCCGTTATCCAATGGGAATGGACGCTCAGCTCTTTGGGTCCGTAATACAATAAAGGGTACTTGATCAAATAGGAATATAATTATCTTTTAAATAACGTTAACTAAAGGGAATAATCTCTTTGACACAGCTGAAGCTCTGGCCTTCCTTAAAAACGAACTAATTTAATAAAAATCACAGTTGTATTACACACAATGCACTGTTTTTTGAGAACAAACATTGGTGAATAATGCACCATAATACATTCTGACGAAAAATAAAAATTATTATGAATACAAATAAAATAAAAGAAGCCTCCTGTGAGTTACTACAAGCTATAAAGTAGATTTTAAAAACGTTTTATAGAATAAAAGCTCACTGCTGGACGTTGTAGAAATGCGTGTGTGCACCACGACAAAGGAGCCTCATTCACTTTACATTGGGGTTGTTTGCGTGGTGCAGACACGTAAATGTAGCAAAGTTCGTGACTCCACCACGCAATGCGGTGTTAAAGGGCCCATGTCATGGCCATTTCCACTGATCATAATTACATTGTTGAGGTATACTAAAATAGATTTATACTGTGCAATTTTCCAACTCACATTGGTTTCGCATACAGCATCTCTGTCAAGCATGTGTATTCAGCAGTATTCACTCTCTCCACTAAACGACTCGTTGGAGCTCTTGCCCCCCCTCCCTGTGAGCCTAGTGTGCTCCGATTGGTCAGCTCGGCCACTCTGTTCTGATTAGTCAACCACCAGAGAGGCTCCGCCCGCTTTTTTCGGGGAACATCAGTGTAATACTGGCGTCAGTACAGCTGATATTTTATACGCTAACTAACCGAACTGAACCTACAACTGTTGTTATAGAAGAGTGTGACGGCCCCAGGGCCTTTGTGCAGGTGTGTTGCAGGGCTTACGGTGGGGTGGAGCTGAAGAGGGTAATCAGCGCGATCACGGACACCTCCGTAGCCGGTGCTATTAATCCCAGCGGCCCGGCGATTCTCTCCCCGACCACCTATAGT